AAAGGTCTTAAAACCCACTCAGCATTACGACATAGGACTTTAGCAGCGCCTAGTAAGACATGGACAGTTTTTCTTTAACTTACTTATATAATAGGCCTAGTTGCCCAATMTTGTCAAATACTTGACGGAATGGAGACTATTGAACAAGTATTTAGCACTTCTAAGCAATTGGTTATAAAGTCTACTTGTGGCTTTGCTCAATTATGCCCTGAAACTTTGTGAAGCCAAACTGGTGATGCGGAATGAGTTGTGCTTTAATCAGCGGAAAAAAGTCTCGGCATATTTCCATTGAGAAGAAAAATAGCAGAGCCTGAGCATACCATTAAAAGGTGACAATCATGTTGATTTGATTTCCTGGTGACATTAAAAGGCTTATTTTTAATTTTGTCATAACCTGGTGATTTTTTGTTAGTTCTCCTCTTGTACTTCTACAACATCTATTCCAGCGTTTAGTAGCTCCATCTGAAAAGCAACCTCTAAAAATTTGTAGACTTCTGCAACGCTGAAAGCTTTTGGAGATAGATGACAAACTCTTCGACTTTTTTTCGGCATTTGTTCGGCAGCAGAAACCTCTGCTGTTTATAATTTATGGGTAGCTGGAAATAGGCACCTTTTATTGTATTTCTAAAGATTGTTGTCTGGATCTGCTGGTTTGGCAGCAGCTGGATACGCCTCTATTAACTTATTGCGTAGTTTCCAAAGAACTTACTGCAGCTACTTCATAGCACAGTTCGGTCATGTTTTGGCATACGGATTTCAATTGGCTTGCTAGGCTTGCAGAATACTTCTCTTTTCTCTCGCCGTTGTCATTACTTCATTAGACCAGAGGCGTTTATATAGCTTTTAATTCCTCAACATAGTCAGAAACATCTTCAGCGCAAATGATGATATTGGGGTCCAACACCTTTGCCAAGAACACTTGTGGGTTTGTTCACTTTCAGAACTGACAGAATATATGTATACTAAAATTGGAAATATGCAGAGAAGATTAGCATCAATCAAGAAACAAATAATACAGAATTTATCGATACGTGAGATATTACTTGTTTTTATTGGCATAAATATTTTGAGAAAACGAGTTTCTTTTTCTCTAACTAGGTGTGGGCCTTTGCTAAAATAATTCCTAAATGTAGGCAACGATTAGAAATTAGAGATTTTATATTTGCAATTTTTTTTTTAGTTACAAATAAAAAATAAGGATTCTTCCAAAGTAAAATCATAAAAGAAAGACTGAGATACTGATTTAATACGAAACGAATGTTAGTAGATCAACATGCAAAAGAGAGTCAAAGGCCAACTGTTCAAAGCTTTATGAGAGTGATAGAGAGAAAGTATGTCAATATGTAAGACCAACAGTGGAACAGGTTACATTTTACCAAAGCTACGCCGCTCCGACAGTGGCAGTCTGTATATATGTATCTATCCTGTAACAGCTTTTATCCTACTTGACATTTTGTGGTGAATCCACGAAAGCCACAAGACAGATATTAAGGCGAACCGGCTGAGCTGAGGCGGCGACGGCGGATTGGATGAGTTAGAAGCCATGCAGCCAAACAGTCAACCAAAGATGGTGAATGCTATATGCATATATACTCACTTCTATATAACATARGTGTGTGTTAGAGTAAATGTGTGAATGTATTGGTGCAATGAAGGTATGCATTGGCCCACTGTGCGGCTGCAGGAAGTCTCTTTCGTGCATTGTAAGCGCATCAGCGCTGGTCTTTAGAGTAAAAAGGGCGTTTTCCGGTTGGACAAGCGAGGCTGACGCGAACAGCCACCAGCAAGAGTGCGCGTGTGTGTAAGTCTGTATGTGAGTGTGGGTGTTGAATGCCACAGCGCGACGCAGGGATGAAGTGGCACAAAATATTATAGCTTTTTGCAGTTTAAGGATTCCTTTTTTTTTGAGTTTCCTGCCGCCCGTTGCCGCAGTTACCACATAAATTCAAGAAGCAAAGCAATAAGCGACGAATAAAGGTCGAAAAGCAAGCAGCAAGCCGCGCAACTTCTTGATATCCTTGCTACCGTTGCTGATGCTGCATATGCTTGAGTGTGTATGTGTGTTTTGGCTGGTGGCTGCCGACAGCATTGGTTGTTGGCCGTCGCAGCAGCGCAGCAGTTACAGTGGCAGCATCAAAAGTCAGCGTGGTGGCTTGGTAGGCAAATGGTGGCACTTATGTGTATGGCAGCGGTGGGATGTGAGCCGTTTGGCTTTTATATGCCACCCCCGAAACGTTGCGCTCTCCATTAGTTGGCTCTTGCYAGCAAACTTTGTGTTGCGCAAAGTCGACCAGCCTATGCTGTTCACCAGCTCGCCGCCATCGTCGTCGTCGCTACTACTACTGCAATCGGCTCTGCAGCCAGCCAGTCAGAGTCAAATTGACTACGATAAGGATGCTTGAAGCTTCACTTTTATAATTGGCGGCAACTGGCACTCTATTGCAATTCGCAATTCGAAACGTTCACAACGTCAAACGCGCGCGACACGCGACGGCATTGAACTTAACARACAGTTTACGGTAAAATATTGTGCTAGCCTCTGTTCCATTGAGTGTAAAAACGGTGTTTAAAAAAAAAATATTTATATCAAAAACAAAAATATATAGAAATAATAAAAATAAATAAATGTCAGTAAGTTAAGAAATTGCAAAATGTCATGCGTGAAAATATTGTAAAATTCTAACGCAATTAACTGTGTTTACGAAAAGTGTGTGCAATTGCTGTGACTGACTACTAAATTTGTTTGACTCTAATTCGTCATAATTTTTGCACACAATCTCAGCACGCTGGATACGTTGGGGTTTAAATACTTCCATCAGCGGAAAATGGGCACAGGTAACTAAGCCGCGGTTTCGTTAGCGAAAAAAGTAGTACTTAACATCGCCGACGGTTCTGTGTTTGTGCTTTAAATATAGAAAGACACCAAAAATATGAACAAAAAATTTTGTGAAAATTTTACATATTCTCAATGACTTTATATATTAGTAAATACGTAAAAACTACGAATAAACAAATTCTAGAAAATTTTACATATTTTCAAACTGAAAGTTATTTTTAAACTTAGCGTTCTTCTGGTTCACTTGCCGAAAGTGTCATCCGGAGGCAATAATATCTGCAGATATCTAGATGTAAACTGAATTTTCTCTCACAGCCTGTTAGAATCATTTGCTGCTAACAGTGAACTGACTTCATACGCTCGTATAGTATACCATATTTTATATTATAAAATCTAAAATAAATATTGCTTTTCTAGTACTGAAACTTCCTATCAACTAGTCCATCAATATCAAACTCAATCAGTGAAAGTAACAAAACGTTGCCTACACTTAGGAACATTTAGCAAGGTCACACACCTATACATAATTTTTTTAGTGCTTGAGTGGGCTAAAATAAACTAAATAATTCCAACTAATAGGGAAAATCGAGTGGATCATCTAGTTTGTACGGATTTCTTAAAGTAGAAAGAAAAAAAAAATTAAAATTATGACTTTGAATGCTGATAAATAAAAGTATAAAAAAATTTAATTGACAATGCCGCATTGAAATAGTTTTCAATTTACAATCATTCAAAAAACTACTAAATCACAGGGAAGAAGATAGCCGACAAGTTTAATGAACTGAACTGAAATTTAAGATTTCAAGTTGTTATGTTACATATCAATTATTTTTGATAGTTTACGTTCATGAAAAAAATAAAATAAAAAATAAACAAAAAAAGCAGTTAAAATATATATTTAAAAACTATTCAAGCYGTTTTTGAAAACACCAATTTAGGTTAGGGCCCTGGTCTATGAATGAAGGGACACTTAAATATTTAAATATCAATATCTGTACTAAATATTCTTTCATAGCCTGTTTAAATATTTAATTAGGACTTTTATTTAACCGGTTATAGGATGTACTTACAGCTGTAGGCTATGAAATCGGTAATAACAGATACTGTTCTTCTATTCTGACATCCTATCTCTTAGTAATATATAATAATGTCATCCTCAATTTAACTGAAAGTAGCAAAAGAAATAGGTAAAAAAATTAGGCAAATTTAGCAAAGTCACACACCTCTTATTTTATATACAATGTTTAGGCTGGTCATATTAGGAACTATTTACAAATTGTATGGCTAATGTTCCGTTTAAAATATAATACAGTAAGTTCACTCTGACCACTTATAAAATAAAAAATTTAGCAAACAAGTAAGGAAGGAAAAAAGAAAAGATTTTGTTGACACTTTATGCAGAAAATTGTTGAATTGTTGAATTTAATTAAATATTAGGGATGTGTTACCAGAAAGGTGTTCCCTGAAATTCTGGTAAGAGTATAAAAAGTCAACTGRACGTCTGAAAAGACATTATTATTTATATATTGTGTATATGGGGGCTGGTGAATATTGACCA